TCCCCACTGGCGAGCATGAGGTCCTGGAACCCTCTCATCTTATCCCACATTTCAGTGATGCCCTCTCCGCTTCTGGCAGAGATACGAATTACCTTTGGTCTCCAGACTTCTGAGCGTTTGCGGAGTAACTTCAGTGCACTCACATACTCAGCCTGTATCCTTCGAGCCGGCACAATCAAGTCTCCATCAGATTTCGTTATAGCCACCAGGTCTGCCATCTCAATTATACCTCTTTTGATACCCTGCAATTCATCTCCTCCTGCTGGTGGCAGTAGTAAAACAAACACGTCAGCCATATCCGCAATGGCAAACTCCTACTGGCCCACACCTACGGTTTCAATAAGAATGATGTCATATCCCCCTCCTTCACACAACAGAATAGCTTCATTTGTGGTCCTTGTCACACCTCCTAAAGTACCGCTGGTAGGAGATGGCCTGATGTATGCATTCATATCTCTTGATAACTCAGTCATTCGGGTTTTATCACCTAAGAGTGATCCACCACTAGTACAAGAAGAAGGGTCCACAGCTAGCGCAGATAATTTGTGCTCTCTCTCAGTAAGCATTTTTCCAAAATACGCTATAAAGGTTGATTTTCCAGCACCAGGGGGCCCAGACAATCCCACTCGAAATGCTAGTGATTTTCCTTTATTTATTTGTTCTTGTTCTCTGTGGTAGACTAATACTTTCTGAAGAAGCACCTGGGCTAACTCTTTTTTCCTCTTGTGTGTTGATTCTATAAGAGTTACGGCCTCTGCTAAGCAGGCCCTGTGCCCTTGGATTAAACTGGTATAAAGTTTATCCACAAATCTTTGTTCTTTATCAGAAAGTTCTTCTGTGTGTTCCTTTAAGGTTGTTTGTACACATAATTTTCTCTTTAAACCATTTGACAACAACATCCATTTTGTACAGTGGAGTCCAAGAGAATTAAATGGCCGAGCACAAGGGATTCCTGATCTGAGATGAGTACTTGAGTGAAAGATGAAGTGGTAGCCGACGGAAAGGTGTTCTTAAAAGGCCTTTTAGGAAATGCCGGTGAGAATGTTGCAGTAGCATGGGAATATTCATTTTGTTTGTAACTGCAGAAAACACAGGTTGCTTTTTGGCTCAATGTGATTTGTGACTCCCGGACGACATGGAAGTCCATTTTGCTGCTTTTAAAATCCGTTTTTTAATATGTTGTTATTCTTGAAAGGCAGTTTTTTGCCTAATACCCAATTCTAGGTTGATGATTATTTTCCCTTAGCATTTTGACAGTATTTTCTGTCTTTTTCCAATTGTTGCTATTGACATTAGTTAGAAGTTAGTGGTCAGTTGTTCCTTATCCAGGAATTTGAGTTGTTCTGTACCTAAAGCACTTGTTATGTTGGTCAGTCCAACAGATATGTTTAGTGTCTTTCATTTTTAGGTTAGCGGCCTTATCTGTTATTTTATATTATTCTTTGTGTCTTATTACCTCTGAATAACTGTGTACCAGATACATGTTTTGCATGTGTCAGTCAGTATTCAAAAGACGTGAGAAGTTACAAGTATAGAGGATGTTCGTTTTGTTATGAACTAGCAAATACGAATTTTTTCCTCTGTTGGTGTGGAGTGGTCCTGTGTCAGTAAGGAATTTCTTAGAGATTTTCTACTTCTTCACATTAGTTAGCTCGTTTTTATATCCAGAAATGGGAAAGATTTCAAAGATAATTGCCTTTTTAAAATGGGATCATTTGGGGTGCCTGGGTGGCCCTGTTGGTTGGGCGGCTGCCTTCGGCTTGGGTCATGATCCCAGGGTCCTGGGATCGGGTCCGCGTTGGGCATCCTGCTCAGCGGGGAGTCTGCTTCTCCTTCCCCCTTGACTCTTTCCCTGCTTGTGCCCTCACTGGCTCTGTCTCTCTCAAATCTTAAAAAAAAAAAAAAATGGGATCATTTGTTAGAAAACAATTATGTGGACCTCACATGTGACTAGCCAAGTACAGAACACCAAAAACAATCTGGAAAAGGGATGTGGATCAAAATAGATTATGAGCCAAGGGAAAAGGGAGAGAGTGCATTTTAGCATTTATAACACATGGCCTATTCTGAGGGAGAGGAGGGACTGTTCTGTACTTATTTCTTTATATTAAGTCTTTTCTTTTGTTGACTAATAAATGAAAGAGGGACAATCAGAAACAAAAGAGGCATCCAGGGATCTAAGGGTATGTAGGCTGGGCTAGAGTTGGAACTCACTTTGTGGCCCTGTGGTTTGCAAGGCCCTGTAGATTGTGGTCCTGCTTCTGCCACAGCCCTCCTTGGAGAGGGTTGGGTTTGGTGCCAACACTGCTGATATTGGGAGCAGAGACTTAATAGCTACTTCTAGTCCTATCCCAGTGGTTTTTCAATGAGGACAAAGAGTTTGAAATGCATAGACAGTGTAACTATTGTTTCCATCAAACTTCAAAAAATAAAGCTCGATAATCTTCTGGGGTATTGAGGAAAGAATGAGAAAGAATTATAGGGAGTATGGGGTGGAGAGAGAGTTGGCTTAGCAGAATTGTTGCGAGGATTAAAAATAAACATTACTGGGCATGTTTATGTTTCTCCAGAAAAATGTAGAGGAAGTCCATTCCTGCCATTTACCATATTGTCAGACCAGTTTTTCAATTCTTGATGTCACTTACTACTGAATTGCCTCCTGATTAGTGTAAACCTTCAGCAGGGGCATTACATGCTTACATGCTTTACCCTGGTAGGTGTAAATTGTGTCTCTTCCTAGCTTGTTTGCCCTGTGCCTGTTATTAACGTTACCACTTGTGTTTGATTCATTACATGCGTTATTTTTAACTTTTTCCCCTCAGGGTGAGTGTGGGATGTTCATCTTTCATATCAAAAAGGAGCCTCTTGGGAGGGAGGGAGGCAGTCTGGCCAGAATGGTTTAGAGGAAGGGTGGATTAAGTTCATGAGAACTGGATTGGAGCCTTGGTTTGACCAGATTAGCTGTCTGACTGGGCACGTTATTTCACCTTTCTGAGCCCATTTCTTCACATGTAAAATGGAGATGTTAATGTTCTCCTCCCTTTTCCATAGAAAATAATTTTGGGTAATTTGAATTTATGGGTGTTTTTTGCAAGTAGTTTAGTGTAGAAGTCACAAATTTTCACAGAACAAATGGTTCAGGCCAAACTGATGTTCTTTTTTTTTTTTTTTAAAGATTTTATTTATTTATTTGAGAGAGAGAATGAGATAGAGCATGAGAAGGGGGAAGGTCAGAGGAAGAAGTAGACTCCCTGCTCAGCAGGGAGCCCGATGCGGGACTCAATCCCGGGACTCCAGGATCATGACCTGAGCCGAAGGCAATCGCTTAACCAACTGAGCCATCCAGGCGCCCCAAACTGATGTTCTTAATGATTAATAGCTTATTTGATGAACTTTTACTGGCTCTGGTTTTAAAATTTTGACTAGAGGTGTAGGATATTGTGAATTTTTCTTTTTTATTCTATTGCTATTTTTCTGTTTGGAATGAAAACTTTTTTTTTTAATGAAATACATGATTATATTTGTTTTGAAAAAAAGTAAAGTCATAGGTAATACCAAACTCTCTTCTGATCATCTTCTCCTGATCCTTTTCCACATTCTGCTGTTAATAGTTTTGTGTCTGCCTTCTTGATTTTTTTCTTTGTATTTGTGTACTTATATATGTGCTTATGGAAGCTATACAGTGTTGAGAATATACACATTTTTACCACTCATCACTTCTCACTGAGTCCCAGCGGCACGGAGAGCTCTCTGCCTCATTCTCTCTGGTCGCTGCATGGTGAAAGTGTCCACTGCAGCCGTTTCCCACATTGGTGGGCTTTAGAGGTTTTTTTTTTTTTTAATTGCCAGTAATTCAGCTTGCTTAGTTTGGTATAATAAAGTACTGTGTTCTTAGAAGCTTTTAGAAGTACACTGTTTGCTGCAGAAATAGGTAAATGCTAAATTATAAGCTGGATTCTTTTGTTCTTTGTTGTTTGCATGTAAAATACAACTGTTAAGCAGTGGAAAATACCTTTTTTTTCCAGAAAACTTTTCATTTATCTCCTTTTCAAATGATGTATAACATACGACATTTTTAAGCTCCGTTAAAAATGAACAGTTATTTAGCAAATCTTTTTAATTGTAAAATACAAATAAGATTTATTTTTAAACAATTTAAAAAATTAATAAGCTTTATTTCATGGAGCAGTTTAAGGTTCACAGCAAGATTGAGGCCAAAGTAAAAAAGTTCCCATATACTCCCGTCCCCCAGTAATCCCCACCATGGACATCAGCACCAGAATGGTACATCCGTTACAATCCGTGAACCTACACTGGCACGTCATTATCCACTCCAAATCCACAGTTTAGGGTTCACTGTCAGTGTATATTCTGTGGGTTTTGACAAATGTAGAATGACATATATCCACCATTATAAGATCCTACAGAATAGTTTCGCTGCCTTTGAAATTCTCCGTGTTCTGCCTGTTCTTTCCTGCCTCCCACCTTAACCCCCAACAACCACTAATCTTTTTATCGTCTTTAGGGTCTTGCCTTTTCTAGAATGTCATAGTTGGAATCACACAGTATATACCATTTTTGGACTTTTTTTTTTTTCCACTTAGTAATATACATTTAAGGTTCCTTCATGTTTTCATGGCTTGAGAACTCACTTCCTTTTAGTGCTGAATAAATATTCTGTGGTCTGTATGTACCACAGCTTATTTATCCATTCGCTTACTGAATGACATCTTGGTTGCCTCTGAATTTTGGCAGTTATAAAGAGAAAAGTTGCTATAAACATCTGTGTGCAGGTTTTTGTGTGAACATAAGTTTTCACTTCATTTGAATAGATAACAAGCACAGTTACTGGATTGTATGGTAAGGGTATGTTTACCTTTTTGAGAAACTGCCAAACTGTCTTCCAGAGTGGCTGTATCATCTTGCGTTCCCACCAGCAGTGAATGAGAGTTCCTTTTGCTCCACGATCTTGCCAGCATTTGGTGGTGTCAGTGTTTTGGACTTTGGCCTTTCTGATAGGTATGTAGTGGTATCTTTATTTATTTACTTATTTAGATTTATTTATGTGTGTGAGAGGGAGACACACACAAAAGCAGGGGGAGGGGCAGAGGGAGAGGGAGAAAGAATCTCAGCACACCCCCCACTCAGCATGGAGCCTGACACAGGGCTTGATCTCACAACCCTGAGATCATGACCTAGGCTGAAACCAAGAGTTGGACGCTCAGCTAGCTGAGCCACCCTGGCAGCGCCCCCTTTTTTGTATCTCATTGTTTTAAATTGCAGTTCCCTAATGACATACGATATTGAGCATCTATTCATATGCTTATTTGCCATCTGTATATCTTTTTTCTTTTTTTTTAGGTAGGCTTCTTGCCCAGGGTAGAGCCCAACGTGGGGCCTGAACTCAGGACCCTGAGATCAAGACTTGAGCTGAGATTAAGAGGCAGACGCTTAATCAGATGAGCCACCTAGGCATACCTGTATATCTTCTTTAGTGAGGTGTCTGTCAGGGTTTTGGTGTTGTATCTAAAAAGTCATTGCCATAGCCCAAGCTTTCTTAATTTGGACTGGTATAACAAAATTCAAAGACTGGGTGGCTTATCAACAACAGAAATTTACTTTGCACAGTTCTGGAGGCTAGAAATCTGAGATCAGGGTGCAAGCATAATCAGGTTCTAGTGAGGACTCTAATTTATTGCAGACAGGCATTTTCTCATCATATCTTTATATGGCCAAAAGAGGGCAAGGGAGCTCTCTGGGGTCCCTTTTATAATGGTACTAATCCTGTTTATGAGGGCTCCACCCTCATGACCTAATCATCTTCCAAAGGCTTCACTTCCTAATACTGTCACCTTGTGGGTTAAGATTTCTGCATATGAATTTTGAGGGGACAAAAATACTGAGTTTATTGCACAAGGTCATCTAGGTTTTATCCTTTGTTATCTTCCGGGAGGTTTATGGTTTTGCATTTTATATTTAGGTCTCTGATCTGTTTGGGGTTAATTTTTGTGAAGAGTACAAGGTCTGTGTCTAGATTAATTTTTGCATGTGATGTTCCAGCGCCATTTGTTGAAAAGACTATCTGCTCCATTGTCAAAGATCAGTTGATTGCATTTATGTGCATCTGTTTCTGGGCTATTTGTCCTGTTCCATTGATCTGTTTGTCTGCTCTTTTATCAGCACCACACTGTCTTGATTATTGCAGCTTTATAGTAAGTCTTGAAGTTGAGGAGTGCTAGTCCTCCAACTTTGTTCTTTTCAATATGGAGTTTGCTGTTTGGGGTCTTTTGACTCTCTGTGTAAACTGTGAAATCAATTTGTCAGTATCCACAATATAACTTGTTGGGATTTTGATTGTATTTGATTGGAATTGTTCCTGATCTCAGTAGGAAAGCTTTGAGTTTCTCACCTTTAAGTATGATGTTTGGGGGCGCCTGGGTGGCTCAGTTGGTTAAGTGACTGCCTTCGGCTCAGGTCATGATCCTGGGGTCCCGGGATCGAGTCCCGCATCGGGCTCCCTGCTCGGCGAGGAGTCTGCTTCTCCCTCTGACCCTCCCCCCCTCTCATGTGCTCTCTCTCTCTCTCTCAAATAAATAAATAAAATCTTTAAAAAAAAAAAAAAACTATGATGTTTGGTGTAGGTTTTTTGTGGATGTTCTTTATAAGGTTGAGAAGCTCACCACTATTCCTAGTTTGCTGGGAGTTTTTAGTCACAAATGAGTGTTGGATTTTGTCAAATGCTTTTTCTGCATATATGGATATGATCATGTGATTTTTTTTTTCTTTAGGCTGTTGACATGAATTACGTTAATTGATTTTTTTTTAAATGCTTTTTTTTTTTTAAAAGATTTTATTTATTTATTTGCGAGAGAGAATGAGAGAGAGCGAGCACATGAGAGGGGGGAGGGTCAGAGGGAGAAGCAGACTCCCTGCCGAGCAGGGAGCCCCATGCGGACTCGATCCAGGGACTCCAGGATCATGACCTGAGCCGAAGGCAGTCGCTTAACCAACTGAGCCACCCAGGCGCCCTTAATTGATTTTTGAATGTTAAACCAGTCTTGCATACCTGGGATAAATCTTACTTGGTTTATAATTCTTTTTATATGTTGTTGGATTTGATTTGCGTATCTTTTGTCAAGGATTTTTGCATTTGTGTTTATGAGAGATACTGAACTGTAGTTTTCTTGTAAAGTCTTTGTCTGGTTTGGATACTACCATAATGCTTGTCTCATAGAATGAGTTAGGAAGTATTCCTTCTGCTACTGTTTTCTGGAAGGGATTGTAGAGAATTGGTATCATTTCTTCCTTAAATGTTTGGTAGAATTCATGAGTAAACCCATCTGGGCATGGTATGTTCTCTTTTGGCAGGTTATTAATCACTGATACATCTTTTTTAATAGATACAGACCTAGTCAGATTGTCTATTCTTGTGTGAGTTGTGACAGATGGTATCTTTCAAGGAATTGGTTCATTTCATCTTGGTTATCACATTAGTGGCCGTAGAATTGTTCATCCTTTGGTTATCCTTTTTTTTTCCCCCCTTAAGATTTTATTTTTAAGCAATCTCTACACTCAACGTGGGGCTTGAACTCATAATCCCAAGATCAGGAGTTGCACGCTCCTCTGACTGAGCCAGCCAGATGCCTCTGTTATCCTTTTATCTGGAACGATATACCCTTTCATTTCTGATATTAGCAATTTGGGTCTTTTTTCTTTGTTTTTTAAGATTTTATTTATTAGAGAGAGAGCACAGGTAGGGAGAGAGGGAGAAGCAGACTGCCTGCTGAGCATGGAGTGGGGCTTGATCTCAGGACCCTGAGATTATGACCTGAGCCAAAGGTAGACGCTTAACCGACTGAGCCACCCATGCTCCCCGGTTCTTTTTTCTTTATCCTAGAGAAAGGCTGATATATTTTACTGATCTCCACACCCCGCCCCGAGAACCAGCTTTTGATTTTGTTGATTTTTCTCTTACTGATTTCTGTTTTCAGTTTCATTGAATTCTCTAATATTATTTGTTTTCTGCTTGCTTTGGAATTAATTTGCTCTTTATCTAGATTCTTAAGGTAAAAGCTTAGTTTATTGACTTTAAAAAAAATTTTTTTTTTTTTTAAGATTTTATTTGATAGAGAGACACAGTGAGAGAGGGAACACAAGCAGGGGGAGTGGGAGAGGGAGAAGCAGGCTTCCCACGGAGCAGGGAGCCGGATGGTGGGCTCGATCCCAGGATCATGACCTGAGCTGAAGGCAGACGCTTAACCACTGAGTCACCCAGGCGCCCCTAAAATCTTTTTTTTTAATATATCTTTTAGGTGCTATAAATTTCCCTCTAAGTACTGCTTTTGCTGTCCCCCAAATTTTGAAATTTGAAAAAAATTAAAAATTTTTTTAAAGTTCTCTTGAGATTTTTTTTCTTTGATTCATGTCTTCTTTACAGGTGCTGTTTAATTTTCAAGTACTTTGGGGATTTTCCAGATCTCTGTTACTGATTTCTAGTTTAATTGCATTGTGGTCTGAGCAGACACTGTGTGATTGCTCTTCTTTTAAATTTGTTACAGTGTATGGGAGACTATGGACTCTGAGAAACAAACTGAGGGTTCTAGAGGGGAGGGCGGTGGGCGGATGGGTTAGCCTGGTGATGGGTATTAAAGAGGTCACGTATTGAATGGAGCACTGGGTGTTATATGCAAACAATGAATCATGGAACACTACATCAAAAACTAATGATGTATGGTGATTAATAACATAATAAAATAAAATAAAAAAAAATTTGTTACGGTATGTTTTATGTGTGGTCTGTCTTGGTGAGTGTTCCATGTGAGTTTAAGAAGAATGTGTCATTGCTGTTGTTGGATGTAGTCTGTACATGTGAGCCTGGGCCCCCGATTGAACTCGAGTGCTTCTCAACTTTTTCTCTCCTTAGATGGGACAGGATGGTTAGAAGGGTCTGAAGTTGTGTATTTCCCTTCCTTCAGATGGGGTAGGCTCTGATAAAATAGTTTCTGCTGAGGACAGAAAAGAACAGAAAACTGGCATATTTCAGAATTGTTCTCTTCCCCTCCCGGAAGCAGGAGATTTTTCAACTGTATTCACTCTTAGGACCTGGTAGAACTCCTGAAGGTAGAACTCCCAATCCTCCTGGCTTTTCTAAGTCTGTGAGTTGGTCTGCGGCCATACCACCCTGAACACGCCCGATCTCGTCTGTCAGTCTGTGAGTTGTTCTCACTGAGCCGCCAGCAGTTTGTTGGTTTTAGTTCAGGTTTTCCTGCCCTGGTGGTAGGTCCATGGGAGGTTTTGGTTCACAGGTCTCTGCTCTGGTAAGTTGTCATTCTCTGTATTGGCCTTTCTTTCTCCACAATCTTGGGGGCAGCAGTTTGCCTTATGACCGAATTTCTCTGATGACCCTAAAAAGAACTGTTGATTCTTTAGTTGTTCAGCTTTTTACTCTTGGTGAGGACAGAGTGGCAGCTTCGAAGCTCCTTAACGTGCTGGACGAGAAACTGGAAGTTCCGTTTATGTGTCCAGTTTGTGTCCAGTTCATCGGCATCAAGTACATTAACATTGTTGTGTAACCTTCACCGCTGTCCATCCTCAGACATGTTTTCATCTTCCCAAACTGAAACTCCATACCCATTAAATAAATTCCTCTCCATTCCCTCCCTGCCGCAGCCTCTGGCAACCAGCATTCTACTTTCTGTCTCTACAGAATTTGACTACTCTGAGTACTTCATAGCAGTGCAGCCAGATGGTATTTGTCCTTTTGTTGAGTGACTTCAAGCATAGTCTTCGAGGTTCAGCTGTGTTGTAGCATGGATCAGAACTTCTGCCTTTCGAAGGCTGAATTCTGTTCCGTTGTATGTGTGTATGTGTACACCACATTGTGTTTAGTCATGTGGGTACTTGCCTCCATCTCTTGACTATTCTGATTTATGTACTACAAATGCGGGTGTGCAAATATCACTTTGACCATTGTGCTTTCAGTTCTTTTGGGGTATGTACCCAGAAGTGGAATTGCTGGA